GTCGTCGACGACGACAACAACGACGACGATAAGAGTTTTCAGCGGGCGGTCCGATCTGAAAAGTTTAAACGTGCTCCCACCCAAGATTTTGCGTGTGTCTATCCCTGATAACAATGCTTATACACTTTTCGAAAGTGTGTGTATTCGTGGAAGTTATGCATGAACCCGGCCTACTTGACTGTCGAGTGGATGATACCTTCGATCGCTGCTCTGGTCGGGAACGGAATCGCGAACCATACGTCCGCTCGTTCTCCCCGCGATAAGCGAGCCATACGGCTGAGTGTCGTATGGGAACTGCTTGCGACTTCCATACAAACGGCATACGACCTCCGCACAAACGGCACACGAAAGGCCGCCGCTACCCATGAACGAGCTCTGCGCGTTAAGCATACGGGAGGGACGTTCGAGCTCCCAGCGAGAGGAGGCCGCCCGCGAGACGAGCGCACGATGGGCAAGTCGGTGCGGAGCGGGAATTCAGAACGCGTTCCGGACGCTTGGCTAGCGATTTGCGATATCGACGTTCCGGGTGGGCAGACCATGCCCAACTCAAAAAGCGATCCCTTTACGCTCGGTCACTCGTTGTAGCGGGTCGGCCTGCGGACTGACTGGATCGAGGGTCGACTCCCGAGCTCGCTTTCGGAGCGACCGAGCTCCGAACGGTTTTCAGCAGTCCCAGCTGATCAATAAGAATCGCTGTGTGTGGTTTCAATTTCACCGTGGAAGAAAGTTGGGAAATTATTTTCCCCAGGACACGACGTGGCATCGATTCATCAAGAAATGGATCAGATGAAGCCCATCGCAAGGCTCGGGAAAAAGACAAGGAAGTTAAGAGGCGTGGGTTCCGCGTTGTCTATTCCCCCGTTCCTCCGAACTCGCATCGTACTCGAGAGACTCCCGGTAGCTCCGAGAGCGGCATCACCGTCACGTTGCGCCCGGACGTGTCGTGACGGAGCTTGTAATTTATTTTTGTGGAAGCCAATATCCGTGTCACCCAATGACTAGCAGCGAGATTAGCGAGCGGGATAAGGGGGATGGAGGGAAGAAGAGCCGAGCATGGGGACGAGCGGGCGGAACCCAAGCGATCTGATCCCATCATCCGATGCGACACCAACAACGACAACGAGGACGACGACGGAGAGCAGCAGTCACTTTAGCTCTTTGAGCGGGATGCCTTCGGTGCTAATTGCGATACAATAAGACAAAACCACCGTGGAGCTATGTCACAGCTGTGAGTGACACCTCGTCCCAGAACGAAAAAACTGTACGTGCTGTTCTCTTCCCGAATAATTAGAAAGCTAGTTGAGAGGAAGAGCTCGTTTTGCTTCCACTTCGTATCGCTCTACCCCTCGTGTTCGCGCTCTCTCTGTCTCTGGACTCTCAGGCCCCGGCTCGAGCGTCTGCTAGCTCATCGGTCGTCGTTTAATGAATATGCGATGCTTTGCTCCGGAAGCATGACGCGTCCGAAGCAGCAGCCGATATGTTCTAGTGCTGGGTCGGATGATGATTTTATTTCCACAGCCTCATCGACTAAGCTGTGGTTTTCCACACGGGGTCGAGAGAATTCGGGAAACTTCGCTCCGCTCGATCTCTCTCAAAACTGATATCGTGGTCTGGTGCCTGAAGTCTAGAGGGTCCGTCTCGCACACGACAACGGATCTACGCACGGAGCGACTTCGACCGATAGGGACGGCGGTCGAAGCCGTAGAGCTAATTGAAACTCGGGTTGTGCAGCGTAAGACAGCCAATTATTCCCGATCTGCTGAGCTGGTTTCCGGACTATGGAGCGAACTGAGCCATCCGATACCCACGACTGCGTTGGAGACGCCTCATTAGTGTTAACTTCATCGACTGTTCCCGCGTGGGGTTTTCGTCTACAAGAAGACTCTTCTACCTGGATCTCGGTCTACCCCACCTGGTCCGGAAAGGCCCCGCCCCGGCTGGATTCTGCGCGGGGCTACGGTACGTTTTCTGGACCCAACGAGCTCCTCGGTCTGCCGGGTCAGATTGGCACCGGACGGATCCACCTATAACGAGCAAATCCACAAACGCTCAAACTTTGGGTAGGCGGAGTTTTGCCGGAAATACAACAACGAGATCAGTCAACGGAAGTCTACTCTACACAGGAGCCGGGCTGCAAATCAAGCAGCTGGTCGGAGGAAGCGACAAACAAGCGAACTCACGTTCGCTGAGTTATCTTGCACTTGCAGTCTACTTCCTTTGGCCCGCACGACTTCTTCTGTTCGATTGCTCGAAACAAAAGCTTCGGATGGACTCTCTGTCAGACGACTCTCGATCCCTCCAACGATGTAGCGACGTAACGCGGCCCGGAGCGCACCGATTTCCCCAAATCTCCGACTTTCCTCGCCTGTTCCTTTTTCAGAGATTCTTAACGTTCATTCGGCGGCTTCGCCCGCCACCTGACGTCTCAACAGGCGGATGGCGTAACGCAGACAAAGAAACGTTCCCGGAGAAAAATTACGCATTTCGACGGAGCTCAGAATACCTTGTTCACTCGGAGCAGGTCCGTTCTCGCTCTTGTCGACCTCGGAGGCACGGACGCGAGCGACGGGTTCCGGGAGGGGAAAATAATAATTAGGAGGAGAAAGGCTGCTTGTCTCGCTGCAATAAGGCTCAGCCATTAGAAGCGTCGTTAGCAACCACCACGCGGCACTAACAGCGACGGCAATGGCGGTAGCGGCGGTCGCAGCGAAGCTGTACTACAACGAGCGAATCCACCTACGGACCAGCAGAACAACACCATTGGTACGAGCACACAACAAATCCACTGTCTGAGCCTAATAGGCTCCCGCATCGGATGCGGGATCGAGCTATTTAAGGGAATCGCCCTCTAACCCCCGTCCTTCGACCGCAGAACGGAATAGCGCGGCCCGTCGAACAATAACGATCAGCGTTTGAGCTCTTCATTCACGCGCTCGAAGGGAGCTGGGTACGAAATTTCACGTCCCGAAACGTTGCCGAAGTTCGGTCGGATTTCCGCGAGATATGCGAGGGACGAACATCGTCGAGCCCACAAGTTGATCTCTCCGGAAAAACTTCCGCAAATGAGAGTTTCATGCTTCAAAAATTCGCTGCGAGGATCTTAACACTCGCGTCGCTCCTCCTCGGAGAAACTCGGGATGTTTCGAAACTTTCGCCTGGGTTCGGAGCATTGGAATATATTTGTGGTGCTTAACAGGGCTCCTGGCCACGATGGCGTGCCCCGATCGATCCTGCTCTCGGATGGTATTTATTAATTATAAGTTTTTTAAAGCTCGGAACGTTATCGTTCAATGTGGCATGCTGGAAACAACATCGACGCCACTGCACGGAGCGCTGCTACCTCCGAACAGCAAAAAATCTCATTTGCGATACGCTGCTGAAGACCTCGTCAAATTTCTCCGCCAACCTGCACCGGCCTCCAGACAAACTCCAGGCAGCCTTTTGAGAGATGGGGACTTCCCTCTCATCACCCAAGTCCTGTTTTCTTCGAAGCTGACAACTTTCTGCTTGTTCACTTATCTATCGTCATCTTGTCGCTTCTGTCGATGTCATCGATTATTATAGATACGGAGATGCTCGGGAGCTGTCAAGCGTCCCAGGATCCCGGGGAGGAGATGGACATCGGAACAGCTCCTATGAATCGAACTACGTAGTTTTTCAAATTCGGCATCGTATGCGAGCTGTGTGTATCATACTTCCGCAGCTCAGAGTGCAGCCCCTCGAGGACTGTCCGCGTCGATATTCGTCGGCATGTGACTTCAAGAGCTTTCTCGAGCAGAATCCCTGGTGTCTGTGAAAAGCTGAGGCAGCAGGAAAAGCATGTCGAGCGGCAGGTTACTATTCCGGAAATCCTTCCCTCCGGAGCCGTATATAGTCTTTCACCGCGAATCAGAATGTACTGGCTTGCCAGCCTGCTTTCCCGTCTCTAGGAATTTCGAGTCTCCGGTTCCGGAAAACGCCTCCCGTTATTTTCTTGTTCTCCGTTATCATGAAGCTCAACGAGTGAAATGCAGCGACGCGTGGTCGTTCTTTACAATTGCCGCATATAGGAAAGCTCTCCAGTGAAAATGCCGTTCTCCGGCAGCCTTCGCTCGATTCGCGATCCACGCATGAACACAAATACCACGGAGAGCTCCCTATCAGTATTCGAAGTCGTCCGGATTTTCGAACGTTTTCCGGAAAGATTTTCCGAAACGTCACGGACGAAACTGTCTCCTCAGAGGCTTCAGTGTTTGCTTGCATGCCCCGAATGCGTCGGCGGTGAGCTCGCGGCGGTTCCGTTTGAGGCTGAGACTCACCAACGATTTATGGAAATACTCAGAGCTTAGGAATCCGACTGTAGAATGTTACCACGGGGGCGAGTGTCGAAGATCCCCGGATTTTCCCTCTCATATCGCTTTTTCCGGTCCGGACTCAGGGCTATAGTATATCCGGTGGGTTTTTCGGTGTGGGATCACATGTGGATCATGCCTCGTCTCAATTGATTGCGCAGCCACGAATATTCGCGAAATCTCAGCAGGTCTGGGAAATTCACGAGATCGAGAAGATAAAGGTTCATCGATTCTAGGCGTGATATTCGACAGATTAGCGGCTCGAGAATTGAGTCCCTCGCACGCGGAGGGTGACTCTGTCATCGATAAATTGAGCTCATTAGAAAATGGAAAATTTCATCATGGGATCTTATGCTGCCTGCCCTCTGTTCCAATCCAAGGCCGCATCCGCGTCGCGTGAAGGTCCCAGGAGAGAATTATGACGCTTATTTGTTGTCATCAGCTATCTTCTCGAAGTCATTGTCGTGGGCAAGACTCCTAAATGCGATTACCGCACGTATTCCGATGAAAGGGTTCCTCGCCCGAGAATCTCCTGGATTAGGCTCGGCGTAGACCTTTACCACCAACGCAACGACGGAGTATTCTCTAAATCCTTCTCCCTGAAAACAGGGTGCCAGCACTAAGCCGGAATGATATCTCTCACCTGATAAGCGACCTTTTGACACCTTATATAAATCCAGAATTCGACACTCGCCGAGGTGATCATTCGTGGAGTGCTTCTTTGGCAGAAGTAGCCCGATACAACTTGTTCTCAAAATGAAGGGTTTCGCAAGTGTTGCCCTCTTGGCCACCCTGGTGTTCATCTCAGCTGGTGAGAGTGCCCACCACGGGCTGAGACTCTCTTCATTTCCTAAATGTTCTCATCTGACTTCTCTCTAATTATCGGTGATGCTTTGCAGAAGCCCGTCCGAGGTAACCCACCAGGAATTTTCATCTTTGGTTTCAATCCCCATCGTGGCTCCATTGCAATAGTCTTTATCATTCTAGTCATGTTCTGGTAAATCATGACCAGAAGACTCCCGTAGGAGGGTACTCATGAGTAATTTCGTGTTTTATTAGCGAGGATGATCTGATCGTGGACTTCGCCGTCGGGCGCTCAGAGGAATACAGCATGCTGATAGTTGCCGATTTCTTGGAGAAGTACGGAAAGAAGCTCGCAATGGTGGGACGCATTATTTCGAAATTAGGCGACTCGATGACCGGTTTCGGTCGGTGGCTCAAGACCAAGAGACTTCAAGGAACTCAAGGCGACTTCAGCGGTGAGCTAAGCCTTGAGGCGGATTGGAGAACATAGGCAGCGAATCAGTGTATCGTAGGTTCCACGGAACTCATTCTGTTTTTCTTCATGATGTAGATACGCGGGATGTCATCGCCAAAATTGGCGAAGAACTCAGCGTGAGAACGATGGTCTCCAGCGAGGCCAAAGTGGCATCGAGGATTTTGGCTGCTGCCTGCAAGCAGGTGGCTGAGGACAAGACCGTCCCCGGTAAGTCTCCCTCCGTCATCCCGAATCGAATGTCCCCGGAGCGAATTCCAACATCGGCTGATCCTGAGTCGTTGAACTCGGATATATTTTTGTTTTATTTCTTAAATTGAGAGAGGGTACGTGAGTTCAACTTAAAAGGCACTCAACGTCACGCTCCAAATACGATTTCCGAGACCGCAGAAGGCGCCGAGTTCTGTCCTGTATCGGAGCAACTCGATGATCACGAACGCTCAACAACAATCATATCATTATTGTGCATTTCCAGATTCCCAACTCGAAAACTACTTGAGTGTATCGCTCGCTGCGATATCCGAGAGAATGATCTCTTCCAACCTCGACGCTGACGTGGTAGACACCGAGAAGGTCGATGAAGCCAGCATCGAGATCCTCGAGCGAGTCGTTAGCGCTTTCTAGACGGATAAATAAAAAAATACTCAAGTTCCAATAGCCTGGACCTGTTCCATCCCGTTCTATCCTGTACTCCTGCTCGTGAGCTGAGGTAGACTGCCGGTGCCGCTCCGGGGATCCATTCCCGACAAGATGTCGATTTGGATTCATAGGAGCGAATATGAAATACGAATGTAAATAGCGGGCCTGGCTCTCGAAAGTCGTATTTCGACACTGTCAAAGCTAAAGGAAGGATCACGAGCTCATCTTCTGGCAGATTATCGCCCAGTCGTGCGTGATCTTTTCTCTTACCGTCGGAGTATTCTCGGCTTTCCTAAGTTTTCCCACAGCGAGAAACGATCCGGGCTCACGTTTGAAAATTTCTCCCGCATGGGATCTGGTCGTATTTTTCTCTGAGTGTCGACATGGATCACAAAACGGACGAAGCGCAGATTTGGTTTGAACTTCTGATTTAGTCCGCGAGAACTCAAGTCGAATTGCGTCCGGACGCGCCTCGTAGTTTAGCAGAATTACTCTGTACGAGAGTCCTTGGCCTCCACGCGAAGCGGTCATCAGTGCCATCAATCTGTGGTGAGAGCGTCAATGGTCAAATTCGAGCTTGACGAACGCTCATCTAGAGCGATTTCTCCGAACGATGATGGCTCGGTGGGAAAACGGCAGAAGGTTGAACCCTCTCCACTAATGTCTGTTCGAGCTGATTGAAATTTGATACTCATCACGGAACACTGCCGGACCATTCAACAGAGTCCCTCAACCGAGTCAGTCAATGTGATATACGGGAGTCCCGAACCTGTGGGAGAATTCTCCGGATAATTCAGATCGGGGATCCTCGGCGATGCGATATCCGATCGAATGAATCCCAAATCTTCGACCGGTCATCTGAATTGGGATGATCTCCGCAAAGAATTTCGCGAGCTCTTAGCAGAACGCAGTCGAGGCTCGACAAGCGAAGTCTGCGAACGGATTCGCCTCGATCCACGGAGACGGATTAGATTCACGGATGCTGCCGAACTCTATGGAACAGACAGTTCCGCAGAAAGCTCAATTTTCCCATAGTTTACGCAGCACCGTGACCGTTCTTATCGAGTGACGCGATACTTCCTTGGGTGGAGTGGGAGGATGACCTGGGAGGGAAATTCCTCTCGCGGGGACTTCCACGTGCGCTTCTATTCTGACCTATGAGCTTTTTCCCTCGCAAATGTTCTTCTGGAACGTATCACGTCCGTGAGCGGAGGTCTCACTGTAATGAGCGCTTTTTCTGAGCCATCGACGCTCGCCGCTTCCGTTGACGGTCTCCCGAATCGTTGGTGTGAGTGCGTGTGTGACGCTGTGTGGCATGCACTTCGTTTTCGCGGCTCCCAAAGACCGCCCGTTGTTCTTAGATGAAAAATTGCCTGACACCGAGAAGAGACAAATATTCTTTCTGGTCTCGACATTCCGCCACGTCGTAAACTACATCTCGCTGCAATTCTCATTTGTTTTTCTCTGTTTTCAATTCCCTGAAGTCGAGCGTTGATTATGATTCGAATCATTCCGACGGCTGAGACGCTCGACGAGGGCATTAACTGAGCAAATTCAGTGGGCGAGAAAGAAAAAACTGTTTGGCGATGGTTCGCAAGATGATAAATAAACCTCCACTGGTGAGCTCGGTACAACTGAGAATAGTGTTCCCCATTTCTGTCAACAATGATCACTAGACATTCATTCGAGTGCTTCCCAAGGGGGCCGGGAGTGTAATCGGAAAATCCCCGAAGCGGCTCCAGAAACTCCGATGAAATTTCCATGATGAAGCCCATCGATGATCGAATGGAGGAGGATATGGATATTCGAATCATCGTCGGATCGAGTCCCACCGAAATCTGAAGGCCTTCCCGGCAGGAATGTACGCACATAGGTTGCGGTCGACGAGGGAGACGATTTTACTTCGATCGAATAATCCTAGAACGAGCTTCTTAGCGAAGCCACCATGACCTCTTGTAGGGTTCAGACCGCTGTCGTTGGGAGAAATGTTCCTCAGCGTTTTTCTTGGATGCTGCGGTGGAGACTTGTGAGAATTCCGGTCAAGGTATCGGATATATCCGTTGTAGAACGCCGTTTTCTCTCTCTTACGGCGGACTGATGATACTCGTGGCGTGTTTTAACAGGTAATATATATCCATTCTCTTCCCGAATTCAGCGAGATCTACATTCGCTCGGGAAATCCGAGATTTGAATTTCCTCTATCCCTCTCTCCTCGGAAATCTTTATTCATCGACTCTCCGGGGTGTACGTCGAACAAATAAAAGCGAAGATCGTGACGCGCATTTTTTCTCATTCGCCCTTCAATCATCTCCTCTCGTCCTTCGGACAAGAAAGTCTAGAGCTCGCTGCTGCGATGATACACAATGCCCTACGTTTTACGACCGGTTATAAAGTTCCCGAGCGCTTTGGAAAATTCAATATCTCTTGGAATTGCACTACTTGGACCCTACGCGGAAGTACGTAGTAGTCTCGAGGCTTCAAAAAGAACAGGAGGGCGATATGAGCTCTACCTTCAATCTACTGACGAAAATATTCTACTTACTGAAGGTTATCGACTTTCGTCCGAAACGCGGCCGTTCGACCTGGAGCGTTGCTCTCGCGGTGGCATTCACAGTGGGGTTGCTTGGGCAACCCCTCTATTCTTCAGCACTTCAGACTTTGCTTAAGTCGGACTCGTCGCGCTTTATACGCGTGGGGACATGCATGATTCGCTTGACACCGAAATTTTCCGTCAATGGGACACTTACCCAAGCACAGCCTCAATTGATTGGTGGCCTCTCGACTCGTGATGCGAAAGATAAACGTCTGGTGGCGCAAATGGGAAGCTCCTACGTATCGGCATTGACAGAAAGAGCAATACGTCGATTCTCGTACCCCGAACAGGATTGTAAGTCTTCGAAAGTGTTTCGCGGGCACCGCTGTGGAGTCGATCTACTTATGAATTTGAGACAGTCATCATTTCTCGCCCTTACTCCATTCGGTTAAGTGACCGGCCGGGTTCGCTCGTAGCTGGCTCTCAAACTGGCCGTTGATGATGTCCTCATTCCGCCAGGGAGGGGAGTCCTCTACGAAATGGAAAGAATCCAAAAATTCCTCATGACCTCATGACGGTGAGCGGATGTGCGTGCTCGCTCGTCATCTCGCTCCAAGGAAATGTGTCGCGGAGTTCTCGTCGGGTTCGCGCTGTCGCTCTTTCCTCGTCCGTCGAGTCTCTCCGACTTGGCTGCCCCTCTGACTTATGGCCGTATCGACCGCAACGGCACGATTTTCACGTGAGAGTCTCCGTGAAACTGGAATGCGCTGAACACGCGCGGGCACTCGGCTAAAATACTCGATCCCTCTCTCCACCTTCTTTGATTGATGCAAAATATAGATCGATGGAATACACCACATTCCTTGTGAATAAACTTAATGTGATGCAAAATTTTTTGTCGATTGGAGCTCACGAGCAGATTGGAATTCGCCCAGACCCGAAGCCCCCGCGCCGATTCTTTCGATTCCTACTGTAGACACTGTGTCTCTCCACAGTATCAGGGGTTTCGGACTGGTCGCGATTCTAACGATTGAAATCGCTAAGTCGCGGACTTCATTCGCTCCATTGAGAGCGTTCGCTTTTGATTGTGACCGCTTCTATCTGTGCAAATGTATCTATCAGTCCGCGCCGCTCGTTTCTTCGTCCGTTTGTGCCTATCTGTTCGCCCCTCCTTCCGCTCGTCTGTTCGTCTGCACTTAAACTCTGACTCCCCGAGGGAGCTTTCAATATTCCATTGAACCACTACGCGGCCGCCGTCACTGCGACCAGTAGCATGTAGGAGCGAAGGGGTCCGGATCTCATCAGTCGGAGCAGGAAGTGCCTACAAAGCAACATTAGCAAATTGACCACCCCGAGGGACATCAGCCAGCTATCCAAGCAGCCCCCGGCCGGGCCGCCCAACTGGCTAGTTTGCTCGCCGCCCGCTCCGCCGTTGGTGCATCTCCTCACGCTGAAGCGTTCCCCGGCTCGTGGGTGATGGGGGCGACATCAGGAGCGCAGGGTGGGGCGGCGAGTGATTGCTGTTCCATGCCCGAAGAACGGAAGACGTAGAGATGTTGTTGATGTCGTTGAGCGTGGCTCTCCATTTCCGCTCGAAACTCGCAATCGATGCTGGTGTTGTTGGAGTATTTTCGGATTGTTTAGACGTGTTCAAGTTGGCTAATTGGTTCGATCCGACCGGCTGGTTTCAAGAAAGCCGTGAAAAAGGATGGCAGCCACAGAAGGGTAAGAGCAGAGCGCAAACAGTCTGTCGTACAGAAGAGACGGAATTAGACGGAGAGGGCGAGTCTCCCAGGAGTGGCGGAAGACGGTTTTGAATTGCGCTTGCAAGCGCGCTCCGTAATTGGCAAGGCCCCGCGCTGGTTCGTTTGTTCCCAGCTCGTTGGTACCGCTTGCCCCCCCTTCCCCCTCACGGATGTAAATGGCGTGCTCTTCCTCGTCTCGTAGTTGGATCGGAAATCGTTAACGGTCTCCGTTTGTCGGGAATGTCAGTCAGTGTACGCTCGCGGGAGGCATAGGACGGAAGAAAGTGACTGATAGAGGGAAATCGCTTGCGTTTGCGTCTGAGTCCTACAATCTATCGGATCTCTCCCGCGATAGCATGAGACCGAGTGCGCCAACGAGCGTAGGCTTCCTTCACGTCTTCTAAAATGCGTCGAGGAAAACGGGATGTTGGAGGAGGACTCTGGGGATTCGTTCTCTTCCTCCAGAATGAGGAGAGCAGGAGCGACCGCCAGAATGCAATTTTCTGGAGATTCAAGAGCCGAGTCTTGTTCTTCCCTTGCGACGAAACACAAAGGGATCCCCTAGGTCGAGGCGGATAAGGAGGAGGCTACGTTTCGATTTTTGCGGAGTTCCGTGAAAAAGGTTCACGACGCCGAATCTGGCGAAGATCAGCGAGAACTTTCGGCGGGGTCCGAATTTCGATTTGACAAGCAGCCACACGAGCCGAGAGTGTCGCTGAGCACATCACGGGACCCGAGCAG